TTGATCTTTATAAATTCTCCAGTACTAACTGAAATCTATATAAGATGGAAATCGAAGCTTAAAAAAATATTATATTATTAGTGCACTGAGAAATAAAAATTTACTAAAACCATTTTATCAAAGTATATACCAATATCAAATTGTCACTTCCTGATTAATAATTCGAGTATTATACAGAATTGTAGCAGAGACTTTCACACAAAATAAAAGTCCTCCCAACAATGTTATCTAAGGAGATTCATCTTCGTATATTATACGGTATATTCAATAAAAGTAGGTTTTGAGACAATTAGTAAATCTTGAATAATGGTTCTAGCCAACCTAGACTGCATAAGGTGACTAAGGGCTGATAGTTGAATTCTCACAAAATAATGTAAGTAGGTTCACATTTTCAACAAATTAACCTTAGAACTATATGAACAAAAGATGGCATTCAAAGAATCTCTTAGTAAATTGATGGTGGCATACTATATATTTCGTCTTAAAAGACGAGTGGAAAGAATTGGCATTATCGGATACTGAAGGGTCGCTTTGGACTTGTGGCCTGGGATGAATAAAACTCTTATTCAATATTTGAATAGCCTCGAAACCCATTTTCTAAGAATATAGATGGCGTAACCGATTGCGATGTCAAAATGCAAGTATGTTTTGCTTTTTATAAGTAGGTTTTAGATAATATCAGTCCCCTTTTCACCTAAAACGAAATATGGTAAGTGCATGTCCTAAAATGCTTAATCGACGATCGCATTAAAATAGAAAAATACTGGCCTTCTTTGAAATTCAACTCTTCCCTGTGACCCACGAAGGCGTGTCTTGGTCTAATTTTATTTCCTTCATTTTTTATTTACTTATTTGTTGAGTTAAAATAATATTGACAAATGGCAGACCTTTCATTTTGTTTGAGAAGGCGGGTGGAAGGGATTCGTAGATTTGCCGCACCGGATACCAAAAGAAGGTTGCCTTGGACTTTTGTCTGTTGAATTGTGCGAAGTATAGCTCAGCTCACCATCCAACGACCCCGATGACTCCGCGCTGAGCTATCGTCTGTCATGTAACGCACATCGCCAGATCCAGAAACCATTATTCACGAACAATCAACAAAAACACTAAATCAAGAAAGATGGCCGGCTAGGATCATACTTACTTCTTAGACCTTACTTTGCGATCTTAATGAGGCATTTTAGGATCTGGTTGGCTGTTTCATGCTTGCCCTACATGCGCGTATGCGGATCAAAGTGATGCAGGAAGGAGAGCGGATGTGATCACAACTTTTATCTATCTAAATAAACTAGTGTATGATCCGGTAATCCTAGGTCTTGTTAGAGCTTCGTAGATGAGTGCTAGTGCGTGTATACAACACTTAAGAGTTGGCTGACAATTTTAGGTTGAAAAACAGACTCCAGCTTAACCAAGTCTTCTCCTCTTGCTTAGTGACTCTTCTTGTTCTCTTTCCTTCTCTCTCTCCCTCTCTAATTCTCTTTAGCAGGTAGAGATAGTTCTTACTTGGTTTTATACCCTCCTTCGGTATCCGGTGCGGCCAATCTACAAATCCCTTCACTCCGCCTTCTCAAACGAAATGTAAGGTATGCCAGTATCAATCTACTAAGGGATTCTTCAAAACCCAACTTCACTTCATCTCTTAAAATAATATTTTAATTTCAGTGTATAAATCAAGCTGAGTAGTGCATCAATTAGGTAAGGGAAAAAATTTAAATATTGCACCAAGTTCTGCTGATAGCAATTTTTAATTATGCCAATTAGTTTTAAATTATAATGGATTCGGACATTACATTAAAAAATTAAACTGATATAATAGATAAAAATTATGGCTCAGTAAAGCGATTTCTTTAAAAAATTTCTAAATGAGATTTTTGAATCAATGTACCTAGCTATATGCAACGACCTACCTGAATTCACTCTCGATTCAGCTTGTCTTCCTGTTGATCTATCATGCGAAATTAAGCTAGCCACTACAACACCCCCATCCACTATAACGCGGCGCCCAGATCCGCCAAGTGGGTTCTCGAGGACAAGGACTGATCCGTGGGCTCCAGTAGAGTCAATTTTATCTCGCGAGCTACCCCATTCACGGATTGTGCTAGAGGAACCAGAAGAAGATGAGGAAGAAGTGGATGAGGAGGAAGGAGAAGAGACACCAGATGAAGCTAGATTGGTAGCCAAAATCGCTGAACAATTCCGTCTAGACGACGGATGCTGGCCATACAATGACCGAAGTCCGAGTTCTTCATTTCCACTGCCACATCCATCCAATCCATCACTGCATCTTAGACGTACTGAGCCCGCCTCTCCAGCCGCACTTCCACCTCCGGCAGTAATACCTGTCGAGTCGCTACTTGCAGCACCACTGTTGCCGTCATCTCCACCGGTACCATCAAATCCCAGGGTCCCATTCCCACTGGCAGGGCCACTTCCACTTGCACCTCCACTGGCTGGAGGACCGCCCAGGCCAGTACTACCGCCCTCAGGATACAACTGGCGATCAAGGCGAGCCCGCCAGGCAGATTCAAGCTGAGCTTCAAGTCGAGCCAAACGCCAAGGTGGTATATGGTAAAGAAGGAAATGACCTAACGTCTGAGCTTCAACAAACTTGCGATCAGCGAAGGACTGATCAAGGGCGTAAAGACCTTGTTCTAATGCAGGCGTCGCAGGCAAATTATGTGCTCCTATGCGCAGGAAAGGCAGAGTAGATAAAAAGTTTTGAAAGAATATAAATGAACAATTTTATTTGACAATTTTATGACAATTTTATTTGTAAAATTGTTAGTCTAAAGAAAAATCAAAGAAGATGGATGACTTCACATAGACTCAAGCAATAAGGACCTTCTATTTCGAGAAAGTAAATCTAAGTGAGTAAACAGACCATTTTTAAAGGGCTTCTTGCATTAAAGCTCATTGTCTTTATTTTAAGCAACTATTCCCCGTCTAGCTAATTTCTATTTATTTATTTAAGCTATATTCTCGCAAGGATATCATCAGTAAGAGATAAAACTACTCTAGTAAACTAGCATAATCCTGCTGATGAGGAAAGCGAATATGCCTTAGGCAACAGAATTTGCCTCTAATTGTTCATGTTTATGAATAAAGAAGAGAATGCGTCCGCATATTAAAATTATCAAGCGGAATAATCTATTGATGTCATGACTAGACGAATTTAAAGTTGAAATATCTAAATACTTCGAATAAATCAGTTCTTACAAATAGTCAAATGAAGCATAATACAAGTGGGTTGACCTCGTTGTCGCAA